TAACATTGTTATGAACTGTTGAAATAATCATTTAAACGAATAGAGAGATAGAATAACGATAAGGGATGAAGATTATAAACCAGTGGAAAAGCTTCTTAAAAAAAATAAAAACACATTTTTTTAAATTTATTTTAACTCTTCTTCCATAAATCTTTGAATTTCAAACATATCAGAAAACACAGCCTGCCAATATTAGAAACATGCCGATATTGCATTTCGGAGCAATAAAAATTTGCGTTAGTCCATGAATTGTTCAAGTCACGATATATGTAGATAATGGTAGAAAAGTTTTCGTATTATTATATGTATAACGAATAATCCTGCATGTAGCAACCCAGTTACAACCATCTCAAAATACTTGCCCTTCGTTTAAGATAAACTGAAAATATAAGAATATAAAATATTTATTATATTACGATATATAAGAAAGAGCGTAACGTTTTGTCCAAGACATACGAAGAAAATTAAGAAAATGGGATAATCATTTTTCGTATAGAATTTTTTGTTTGGTTAGTTTTTACAAGCATCAGTCTCTCTCTCTCTCTCTCTCTCTCTCTCTCTCTCTCTCTCTCTCTCACTCTCTCTCTCTATCTATCTATCTATCTACCTCGCTCTCTCTTTTTCTATTTTCCCTCGCTTTCTCTCCTCTCCCTCAGTACATTCAAACACTAAAACAACTCACGAATACAGAAAGAAACAACAGAACAAATCATGATTTACACCATTTAGAACAATAGAAAGTAAAAAGGTATAAAAACTTTTAAAAAATTTTTGTGACCATTTTGTTTTGCTTTGGGGACTCCAATCCAAGAATTCCGTATTCTCACTTTCCCTCTCTCTCACTCTCTCTCTCTCTCTCTCTCTCTCTCTCTCTCGTTAAATGTAAAATGAATGATGTATCCTGTTGACCACAAACACAAGTTTATTAAAAATAATGAAATTTTCATAAATTAAATGTAGATGTAGATGTAGAAGTATGAATCCGGGTGTAATATGCTGGGCCCTTTAAGAGCTGTTGTATGCCCCGTCCTCTGCCTAAAGCACACCGGTGAGTCAAGGAATTTCATCAAGTAACTTGATTAATAGGCCCGGTTTCAGTGGTTGAATCTCTTCTATGGTTACATTGTACATCCCAAAGCACTTCCTCCTGCGGGCAAGTGTAGCACCGCAATCTGTCAGTAGATGTCTTGGTGTCTCCTCTGCCTCTTCGCAGAATCTGCATGTGCCGTCTTGGATCATTCCAATCATCTTTATGTCCTGTTAAGAATCCTGTTAGGATTGGCAGTTTATTCCTGCTTCCTTTGATACATTCTGTTATTCTTTCTTTCCGAAATTCGTTAGGAGATTTTGTATTGAATGTGTCCAATGAGTGAATTCCATTATTCCTTCATTTTCGTTTTGTCCTTCTGCCTGAGATACTCATTGATAGTTTGGGTTCATATGCCACAGAACGGTTCGGGTCCTGTCAGCTGTGTAGCACCTCCTTTCCTTGCAAGGGTGTTCTTTTTCTCGTTGTCTTATACTCCCACGTGTCCTGGGACCTAGCAGATGCTGACTTTGTTCTGCGTAATTTAATTTGGTTTTGCAGTTGAACACCATCTTTGAACTAATGATATTTGAGCTTAGTGCTTTGATGGCTGCTTGGCTATCTGACATGATAGCTTTGTTCTTGTAGTTAAGTTGAATTGAGTACATCTCACGATTGCATGAAGCTCAGCTTGGAAGATACTCATTTATTTTCCCATGGGCTCTGAGTATTTGGTTCCAGGGCCAAATACTCCTACCCCTGTACCTTCTTGTGTTCTAGATCCGTCTGTGTACCAAAAGATGGTGCCATTCTTAAAGGAGATGTGCTCCTCTCGTTCCTTACTTTCAAGAACACCTCACACTACTGGAATCATGGTGTAAAAAAAGACTCAAATTGAACCCAGAAAAATCCACCCACATCACCTTCACCCTCCGCAAAAACATCCCTCCTTCAATCAAATATCCCTCCCAACTGCGGACAAGGTGCGCTACATAGGACTACATTGACAAACGTATAACATGGAATCCGCACACACGACTGAAACGACGAGAATTTATGAAACGTTACAGAGCACTTTCACGACTTCTTGACAGACGTTCTAACCTACCTCTCTTAAACAAAAGACTACTAGATATCACCCTAGTGAAGCCGATATGGACTTATGACTGGAAGTGTGAGGTTCAGCCAAACATTCCCATATCCTACGCATCCGAAGAGCCCAATCCATCATCCTATCATCCTTAATGCTCCCTTTTATGTGTCCAACGACACTACCCATATAGGCCTAAATAATCCGTGTGTCCAAGATGTAATCCACTCCCGTTATCGAAAATTTTACACAAACCTCCCAACCACTATAAATCCTCAAATTCAAATCCTCTCATCCCGACGATCCTTCGAACCCTTTACGCCGACTAAAAGGACGATGGCCACGGGATCTTCTATCCACTGACAATTGAATAAAGAATAGTTAGGAGTACTACCAGTGGGTAGTTTCTCCACTTTTTTTTCTTAATTACTTATTCATACTCTATTACTAGATACCAAAATGAAGGTGGTTGTAATATCCAATAAAAAGAAAAAAAAAATTCCTCTCGTTCCCATTCTTTTTTTGTACTTACGTTTATTTGGAAGTTTTGATTGAATTCAAACATCCTGTTCATGTCGTCTCTTGGTAGAGTAAATTTAGTAACCATCGTGTTTCAGACATGATGTAAGAATGGTACTTGAGACCAAATCTTGTGTGATTGATAAATAATGCGTTCATTATCATCATCATCATACCTTACTTTACCTGCCCTCTTTTGCTCTCCCCTTTCTCTCTCTCACTCTCTCTCTCTCTCTCTCTCTCTCTCTCTCTCTCTCTCTCTATCTATCTATCTATCTATCTATCTATCTATCTATCTATCTGTCTGTCTGTCTACCTATCTTTCTTTCTTCTCTTCTCCTGTCTCCTCTTATTCACTTTATCTATCTATTTATTTATCTACCTTCGTCATTATTATATTCTAGCCCTTTCCCTCCATATAATACCCTCACAACAAAGTCAGAAACTAAATTTTGAAAAATTGTAAAAAAATATAGAAAAAACTCAATTTCTTTTACTCACCCTTTATTTTATTCTCTGTCCGTCTCTTCTCTCTCTCTCTCTCTCTCTCTCTCTCTCTCTCTCTCCCTCTCTCTCCCTCTCTCTCTCTATCTCTATCTATCTATCTATCTATCTATCTATCTATCTATATATCTTTATCTCTCTGTCTATCTACCTATCTTTCTTTCTTCTGTTCTCTTGTCTCCTGTTATTCACTTCATCTATCTCTTTATTTAACTACCTTCCTCATTATTATATTCTAGACCTTTTCCTCCCTATAATACCTTCATATCAAAGTAAGTCAACTAAATTGTGAAAAATTATTTAAAAAATGTATAAAAAAATCAATTCCTCTTACTCACACTTTTTTTATTCTTTGTCCATCTCCTCTCTCTCTCTCTCTCTCTCTCTCTCTCTCTCTCTCTCTCTCTCTCTCTCTCTTTCCCTGTCCCTCGCTCTTTCTCCTTTTCGCTTCCATTACTCTCCATTTCTTTAATTTTCTGCCTGTCTCTATCTATCCGTCTGACTAGCTGTTTATTTCTTTTCTTTTCTTCTCTTTTCACTTCTTAATCACTTGATCTATCTATTTATCTACCTTCGTCATTATTATATTCTAGCCCATTTTCCCTCCCTATAATACATGGTCAACGAAGTCAGGAAACTAAATTTTAAAATTAATTATTCAGAAATCGTGAGATGCGGTCTGGTGTGATGTAGGTTTCAGAAAAACATTTTCTTTATCGCGCCAACGTTTCGATCTTTAAATTCACTAATTTCGTGGTCCGCTTGACCAATTAAATCATTACAATTAATTAAGGTTTTTAGTTGAGATGAAAAAAAGTTAATGGCACGAGAGGGATTCGAACCCACGACCTTCGGCTTGCTACGCCGCTACTCGACCACCTGAGCTATCGTGACCTCGATCCACTCGGACATCAACTCCCCATCTCAACCCCACCTTATGAGTTTTCCCTCCTTTCGCCATTTTTCAATCTTTATTGAGATCATCTTCAGGGCCTGGGATTTACAAACATCACCACACATAAATTTTAAAAGTTATGTAAATTTTTTTTTAATTGTCTCGGTTCCTAGGAGCAAAAAAGTTCCATTTAACATCGATGAAACAACACCTCGTTAGGTTTTATGCCATTCATGTTTTAATTCACAATTTATTCATTCTCTCTCTCTCTCTCTCTCTCTCTCTCTCTCTCTCTCTCTCTCTTTCTCACACACACACACACACACACACACACAAACACACTCCCTCTCTATCATATGTCTGTATATAATATACGTTAATTTCATATTATAGATATTTTGATATTTTACTCTAATATTGTAAATTTACACCGTTTACAGAATAGTTGTTTTCTGTTACTTTGATACAAATTTTACGACTTTTTTTCAAAGATTTATGACTGTGATATTCATAAGGGCCGCGAAAACACCCTTGCACCAGCCAAACAATCGGTCCAGAAGGAGTCTTCGACGAGAAGATGGTTTTTAAGAAGTTTTTTCTTCTGTCATTCAAATTTGCCACAATTGTCATATTCATTCCTTTTGTTCAAATACAATTCCCAACGTTTAAATTGTATTATCGCTTAAGAGGCGATAATAAGAGTAAATTATACGGGTTGGAAAGTACAAGAGTATTAAAAGTCCAATCGATGAATTGCCCAGCAGTAAATCCTTAATCCGAAGAGGATGTCCTCCCGGTATCGCATGATGACTTACCATTCGCGACCGGGTTGGTAGTTGACTGAGCCCCTATTCCAGAGCCCGTGGCAACCCGTCAACAGCATATACAATAACGGCTTTAAGGCCTTTTAATCAATAATAAAAGGAGGTTCGCGAGCCAGTATGAGAAAAGACTGTGACCAGGTAGGTCTTCTCTCGCCCGATGCCGCTCCCTCCCAATCCACGTCCGTGAATCGTATCAGGTATGCCAATCCAAAAATTCAACATGTATTTAATCGTCACTCACTTTCTTCTGATTATTACACTTCGTTTTTACATTTCTCATACAAAAAAAAAGAATGTTTAATTAAGTTTTCTTTTTTTCTCTACTATATCAATATTTAAGCAAGCAGACAAGTACCTACGAAATAATGAAGATGGAAAAATAAATTAAATTTTATTTTTTTATTTGCAATTAAAAGTATCATAAAATATTCTCTTTCAATTTAATTTTTCAAAAATTTCTTTTAATAATGCTATAAAACTTATTATAATTATATTACTATGTACTTTTCTTGTAATTATTTTTCTTACCTTCCTCCTACAGCCATTACTTCGTCCCATGGTCATGTGCGGCCTATATTATGAAAAATGAAATTTTCTTTTCAAAATAGCATAATTTGGGTTTGAATTAAATAAGATTTATCCATATAAACATATAATTTACAATTGATGCAACTTTTTTTTTGTGAGAAAACAAAGCCTTGCAATCAACTTGAAAGACAATACAGAATTTTACGCAGCCTTAGACTTCTCTTATAAATAAATAAAATATACCTATAACAACATACCAATCTTGGTTTTTAATAAAAGATATTGAAAAAGAAAAATAATTTTAAAAAAATTAGACATAAATGACAAAAACATACTTAGTTGTTGTTAGTACTAAACTCTTAGTACTTAAAACTTGTTAGTTCTATCCAGAAAGGTATAGAAATGAACAAAAATAACCAAATAACCAACAATTTCCTTGAAAATCCTTAAGGGCCATCCGTATATATTGTGATAAGCAGATCAGATTTTTTAAAAAAATTGACCAGCACCCGATCATCTACCTAATCTTTTCGTCAATTCGATACTCAACAAAATAAAATATAACAATCTTGAATAATTTTTATGAAATAACACCAATAGAACAGTTACCTAAAAATTTATCTGTTTGCAAACTTTTGAATCAAAAGAACTATTATCAAGGGAGGTATAGAAGCGTACAAAAATAACCAAATTCCCAAATTGTAAGAGATATTAGGATAACGAAAAAATTTCTTAAAAATCCTTACGGGCCATCCTGATATATCGATAAGCAGATCAGATTTTTTTTTAAATTGACCAGCACCCGATCAACTACTTAACTCGATCTTTTGGTCAATTCGATACTCAACAAAATAAAATATAGCAATCTTGAATAATTTTTATGGAATAACACCAATAGAACAGTTACCTAAAAGTTTCATCAAAAGAATTAGATGTTGAATACAAATCAAATTATGATAAGGAAAAATTAGTTTTGTTGAATTTCCAAGCGAGGTGGAAAATAGCACTTTTGATGATCGTCCTGAACTTTTCATAACACCAGTCAAGATCAACAAAACAAGGAAAGCTTTGATCAGTCGGACCAAATTATGACTATTTGGTCGTGAATTATAGGGATTTCTTTATAATTTCTTCGTTGATATATTTCATAATAAAAGAGATTTGGACGGCGGTAAAGAGAAAAACACTTTTTCTTCATCAACAAGTGTTTTTGCTCTCCCATTGGGCAGATCAAAGGGTTCTCAGCACAAAGGCAAAAAAGTATGACAGCTGCCCTTAAGAAGATGAAAAATTTTGTAACGCATAAGACACACCTAGGCCATGCACATAATAAGACTTATTACAAAAAATTAGCATAAAAAGTTTGAGTATGCCTTGGAAGACTTAATTGGCGGCTTCAGGATAGCAGATCCTTTCTCCTCACCGAAATAGGGACCTTGGGTCGCCTACAACCTGGTGGGGGTTGGACGAGGGTTAATAATCAGTGAATTTTTTACTTATTCACACAGTCAGAATGCTTATTAACTTAAGCTAGCTAACTTCTTAAATTTAGTCAGAAATTCACTAATTTCGAGGTCTGCTTGACCAATTAATATATATTACAATTAATTAAGGTTTTTAGTTGAGATAAAAAAGCCAGTGGCACGAGCGGGATTCGAACCCACGATCTTCGGCTAGATACGCCGCTGCTCTACCACTTGAGCCATCGTGACCTCGATCCACTCGTACACTAACTTCACATCTTAACCTCACCTCTCGAATTTTCCCTCCTTTTTCCAATTGTTCTCTTTTTATCTCGACCAATACCTTTCATAAATATTAATTAATTGAAAAATGTTAATTGGTCAATCGGACCACGAACTGGAATGGATTTAATAATTAAACTAAGTATATCTTCACAAAAACTTTCCGTGGCCATTTCATTTGTCGCCGAGAATCCAATCCGATTACACGAACTTTGAAAAATGGCAAAAAGGAGGGAAAATTCAAAAGGTGGGGTTGAGATGGGAAGTTAGTGACCGAGTGGATCGAGGTCTCGATAGCTCAAGTGGTAGAGCAGCGGGTATCTCGCCGAAGATCGTGAGTTCGAATCCCGTTCGTGACGCTGAATTTTTTTATCTCAGCCAATACCTTTCATAAAGAGTAGTTATATTTATGATTGATATTTTCCAACTGTCAAGGATTTAATTTCAAAAAGAGAAAAAATTTAAAATTTTCTGTTTAAGAATGAAATATAAATTTTCAACATGCCTAGTTTTAAAATGTAGGAAAACGTACCAATAATAAATTTAGAATAAAAGCATTAAATTTTCAATCATTAAAACCATTAGTTTTTAAAATATGAATACATAAATTAAAAAATAGTGTAAACATTGTGTATAATTTTTTTTTGGAAACAAAAAAATGGTAGATCACAGCGATTTAAGTTTAAAATAAACGTGTTCATTAATTTTTTTTGCGATTCTAATCAAGATTTAAACAAGTCTTAAGCAATATTCGTATCTGTGCCTTATTGTAAAGATCAACAAACTCAGAAAAAAAATTATCACGCCGAATAAAAAATTTCAGAACAAATAAGTCTCAGGTCAAGAGAAAAAAATTTGATATAACAAGTGACGCAAGGGTGTTTATTGCACAAAGGCGAAAAGATGGGGAAGTACAAGCATGTAAGTTAAAGTGCATACTTTATATTAGAAAATTACAGAATTTGGTATTTTGATCAACGAAGAGGGCAGAAAGTGAAGTCGTTACTATGAACAATTTGCAGGACAGCACATACTTACATCCGTAGACCCAGAAATTAACAAATTTGACATTACTCTAAGTTATTTTTTGAATTAAAAGCTGTTTTCCATCACCTATAATCAAATTAGACCCATTTATTTTAAATATAGGTAAAAGTCTCATCGAATTATGTTATTATAATATATTTTAACCAAATAATTACTCAAAATCGAATCACCTGAAACAATGAAAGACTAATACGTACAAACGATTGGATATTACTAAAAAAAAGCTTCATTGTTAATGAAGACAGGAAACAGAGTTTTAAAAAACTATATATTGGGAAAAGTAGATTGGGAATAAATCTTAGTAGTTAGCCTTGCGATCATTGGACGAAATTGTATACAACGTGAAAATAATTCTCACCTACTTTGCGTAATCTATGTCTATGTTAAACGTCCGCAAACAGAAATATATCCTAGTCAAATTCAGTACGGAGTAGAGCTTAGAAGACATCCATGATTCACCGTCCATTATGAAGTATCCAATCCCGACATACTTACGAATGAGCTTTTTTCCAAAAACACCAGCATCCGAGGGTTGATATAACCTCTGCTGTTGAGGACACTCGTAAAAAATACAAATAAAAAAACCGTTACTTCTAGAAAATTTAGCCCAACTTTTCAATCAAGAAACCCAATAGAACTTTTTACCTTTCTGTACGTGAATGTGATATTTATAGGATTTAAAAATTTGATTGAATTATCCTCAATTGCACTGAGGAATATAAAGTAAAGAGAATTTACTTTCGGAGGTCCAAGAACCCTGAGGTACAGAAAGATTAGGATAAAGAAAAGAGTGAGTCGTCTATACTGGACTGATCATAACTTGGCTGGAGAAACTGGAAAAGGAATTACTTGAGTTAAAATGCGAGGAATACCGTAAAAGAAAACCAAACAAAGAAAAAGCAGGCGAATGACAAATGTAGTTTGCTCCATAAAAAATATTGTTACCACAATTTAGACCACTACACAGCTCTAAGAATATATGGTACAATTATTTAATCGTGCTAGCATAATATTTAATTTAAACGGTTCTAAATATTGCAAAATGAATTAGTAAAAAATGAATAGGACTTAGTAGGTAGCCTTGTGTCGCCAGCATACAATATATGAATAAATGTTTTATGTGTAAGAAAATCATATTACTGTAAAGTGGACAGGCATCAGCATCTTCTCTCTCTCTCTCTCTCTCTCTCTCTCCCTCTCTCTCTCCCTCTCTCTCTTTCTCTCTCTCTCTCTCTATCTCTATCTATCTATCTATCTAATCTATCTATCTATCTCTCTTTCTTATCGATGGCTTAGGGCGCAGCTCCAGGAGGATTTCCTTCCTCCACTGCTCAATTTGAAGTTTTCGTAAAAAGTAAAAAATTAACATGTTCCCGAATTTTTGAATTTACTGAAGCTAAGAGAATATTTAAAAACCAACGAAAATATTTTTTAAATATGAGACCAAGCCTGTGACTTAAAGAGTCTGTGGCTTAAAAGAATGAGAAAATATACATTTTCAAATTTCGCCATTTTTCGTGCAAAAACCAGGTGGTCGGTTCCAATTCAGGATATATTTTTATTATTTTTAAATATATTATATTTTTTATTATTAGTATATTGCACATATGATCACCTAGAAGCGCATGTATTTAAGTTCAAATGGTAAGATGTTCGTTTCTTGTTGGGTGTAAGAAAGGTCTCTCTCTCTCTTTCTTTCTCTCACTTTCTCTTTTTTTCTCTCTCTTTCTCTCACTCTATCTCTATCTCTTTCCATCACTCTCTCTCTTTTTCTCTCCCTTTCTCTCATCTCACTCACCCTCTCTCTCTTTCTTTCTTTCTCTCTCTCTCTCTTTCTCTCTCCCTCTATCACTCTCTCACACTCTCCGGTAATATAT